GGATTTGTTCTTTGGCATCCCCTTGTCAAACCAGTTCAGACACAATATTGAGGAAAATGAGATAAGCAAAGGAGAGTCAAGAGTGCTAGAAATCAAGTGGCTATTCTGAGGAGAAAGGTTGGGAGGGAGGAACCAGAGCTGTCCCAGCAGTCTATATATAGGAAGACTAAACAGGTTTTCACCTTGACTTCCAATATTCTATCACATCAAGGAAGTCTTTGCCTAAAAGAAAGGACATACCTACATCGTAGCCCAAAATGTTCCTCTTCACTATTATCCTGTGTGCGTTTTGTGTCACTAATATGGCTTCCATTTCTTCGGGAATTTGTTGTGAGTATTTCAAATAAATCTTCCTCTTCGATCAGCCTTCCTTAACCTTATGCCTCTCCCTAACTTGATGACTAACCTGGATGAGGGACGATGGGAGTTGTAGTCCAACACATTTGGACATCACCAAATTGGGTGGTCATGGTAGTCATGTGGGGTTGTGGTTAACCCTATAGTTAAGTGCTATTAGGTCTCTACAAAGTATTCAAAAAAGATGCTTTGTAAAGTACCTCTTTAAACTGTTAAAGCAGCTATGTCCTTCACAATGTTCATGTGGCTGTTTGAAAGGAAGTGCTTCATTTGCAGTAATGTACTGTGCAAAACATCTCTTTGCACAGCCCTAGAATATGTGTAAAAATGTCTAATGTTTGTGCATTCTATGAAATATCAGTACATAAGGTGTTTAGGTTGCACCAATTTCTTTCATGGAATTCATTAAAATGTCACATCATGCCAAGTCTATGACTGCCAATTCCAATTTTCCATAAATCAAAAAAAAAGCTTCACTCAGGCAGGTTCTGCAAACGTTTATTAAGAACAGGTTTGTTACATGAATATTAACTCAATTGTACTGTATGGACATTGCACAGATATATCGTATACAGTGAATTTGAAGTAATCGTTGTGATTACAGAATTCACTAGTTCTGTAATCACAACAAGGACTTTGGTGGGCAAAAAAGGAGCAAGATCCCCAAACGCAACCAAATGCAGAGGAAACATATAATAGAGACAATTTCTGAGCTTGAACTGCAATTCCACTGACAAGCTACTGTAAATCAGAGTTCTCTAGGAACAAGTGCTGTTCTTGATAAACCTCTGGCTGTCTTGCTTCTAGCTGTCCCCAGTGATCATCGGTGGGTGGTTAGAGGCATCCAGACACAACTGGAAAATTGGGCCAGCCTGCAGAGTCAACCTGATCCCAGTGTCCTGATTGCTTTGAACCTGGC